TAAAGGAAGGATTCTAACTGCTGTGAGAGTGTTACCCAGAAAAAACAGCTAGTCAGTCCTGCAAAGAATTGTTAAGTAAATGTAAGCATTTATGCAATGGCTTAATCACAGGCCAAACTAGTTAGTATCAGAATCCATAGGAGAGAGAGGAACCTGTGTGTGTTCACAATTTGTCAAATTTGGTTTGTTTGGGTTTTTTTAATGACAGTGATCCACAGTTTAGCAGTCTTAACTGTACAGTATTCAGAAGGAAGATATAAATTGTATTTATTAGAAAGTTACTTTTCTAGAAATGGCAGAATGGGAGCTGGTATTTATAAAAATATACAGGATAACTGGGATTTTTCCTTGCTTTTTTTAACAAGGAGCTTAGCAGAATTCAGTTCACAATTTAAGCTGATACAGTTATACCACTTTATCATTTAGCACAGTAAGAGGTCTGCACTTCCTATAATGCCCTTAAAAGTTACTGGTCTTTGCTCAGATATAAGGGTTTGCAGAAGATATTTCCTAGCAACTATTCTGAATGGTGCCTTACTCAGATTTTATTTTTAAAAAGTTACAGCCAAAGTAGATTTAATATTAAAGATACTTCAAAAGGTCAGATATTGATGATGTGAGAAGAGATTTTTTTTAGATTAGAAGGCAAGTAACTTATTCAGTGAACCATGCTATATTTTAGTTAGTACTTAAATCTTTTTTACTGTCTTCATATGTGTAAAGCAAGAGACATGATCTTTCATGGCTGTTTTATGTATCAATCTAACTTTCAGTTACTGATTTTAAAAAAAAACACTAATAAACGCCAAACATAAACTGAACTCATTGAATGAAATTGAATCTATTTAACAGTTTAGATATATTAATTATTCCAAAATAACTTCTGAATAAGCATCTCTCAAATTATAAAATAAGAGCTTCTGTAGCCTAAGATTGCTTGGGAGTTGTGCTAAACAGAATAAACTTTTTTTTTTTCCCCCACAAAAAAAAATTATATTTTACATTATTTGAGCAGATTGTAAAAAAACTTGCTGACTCAGATGCTGGCTAGAGGGACAACTGCAGACGTTTAAGGCAGATAGATAGAGCAAGCAGCACCAGGTAAAAGTGAGGCAGTATGTGGAAGCCCTGCTGCCGACTGAGGGAATGGACTTAATTCATTAGACTACCTGCATAAAGACAAACAAAAATACAGAAGACAGAAGATGATAGCAGTGAACTCTGCTCCCAAAGGAGGCAGGTAAACCCTTTCTATGTGTGTGATGCATTCCTTTGGAATGAGGGGAAGAGCAAGAATATTTTAAGTCATAGGTGATTGATTAGCTGTGTTAATAAGACAATACATCTGATGCAACTGTGTGTTTGAGGACAGCATGGTGTATCTTTTTATGGCATGTAAATTTTATTCAGCACCTGCTCTTTTAAGGTTTTCATTTAAAGATATTCAGCTGATAGTTAGTGTCATTTAGAATATGAAGTATTAGGATACTCAGAGTAATATGTACTGGTGAGACTTACCACAGTCCTGTACAGTTGCAAGGAGAAGCAATTTGAAAGATGGAATACTGGAGTTCCTGCAGCTGCAGATTTACAGTATGGGTTTCCACTCTAGGCATGCAAGATGGGAATTGTTATTATACAACTACAGAGGATTAACTGTCTACTGTCTTACATAACTTATTACTAAACACACAGAGAGCTCCTGTCTGCCATTTTGTCAAGCTCTAATAAGATGAGGAAACAGCAAGGTTAGACATACATGCCATACTGCATGTGTGTCTTACATTCAGGTTCACCTTGCTGCTCCATGCAATCAGATAATTGGGCATTTTTTCTGAAACATCTTTTCTTGCATTTCTAAACACACATAGACACCTTGCAGATTCCTCCCCTTCTAAGCACTGAATTGTTCTCATTGATGTAAACCACTGTTGCTTTATTAATTTAGACCTCACTGCTATAGGGTGTTGAGGGTCCCTCAAGACATTCTTTTGATGCAGTGCCAAAGAAATGGCTCAGGTACTTGAAAGTTTTTTTTTTGCTCTTGGAAAGTTTTTTCTGCCTTGTATCTGGTTGCTGATATTGAATTCCTGTTAAAATGGTTCTTAGTTCTAGCACAGTCAAGTCTGTGATGGGATACTTAGAACAGCTACAAAATATTCTAAGATGCTCTATGGAGTACTGGCAATCCATTAGCTGAAGTTAACCATCTTTTACACCATACTGAATTGCAGAACACAGGCTAGTAATGCCAGAGTTTTACTTAACACAGCGTACAATTGACTATTATTCCCAGTTCTACACAGATATAAATTTTTCTATCAATGTGCAGATGATACTACATTACGCATTCAAAGCCAGTTAACTGTAAAAGCTGATTGATGTAAGAATGTGGAAGTTACTAGAGCTGCCAGCATGGCTTGAATCAGAAATGGCACTGCAAGCGAGAACACCAGGATTTCCCTGGTAATACCTTGCTGCAGATACTTCACACAGTTGGAGGTCTCTGGCTGGAGACAATGAAATTAAGACAGAGAAGTGACCAAAAATGTTTCTTTTGTACACATATTTCTGTTCAAGTTGCTTTAGTGTGAGAAGTGCTTTTAAAAGCAGCAGAAAATAGTACTATTTATAAAACTACATTAGAGTTCCTTTCTGTAACACCTCTCATAGTTTTGTACACCAGAACTTTTGATGTTTCTGCTGTTTAAAATCCTTTCTAAGTTTCTGATTGCAATTAGTCTGCAATCAAGTAAGGCAGCTCTATAAACAATGGAAATCTGGAAAATGGGCTTGGAACATGTATTTTCTATAAAATAAACATTGAAACATATTTTGAGGGATAATAAAACCATTTATGCATTTTTTTTAAATGAAAAATATTGTAGAGAGAACACAAACATATAGTAATTACTATAATTTTTAGTCTCTGTTCTCATCCAAGCTCCAAAAAAAGGCATCTTTCAATTTACTTCACTATAAAACAATGTTTAATTCTTTACTAATGTTTTCTGTCATTATAAACATATATAAAAAAAATCTGGAAACTTATGAGATATGCTTTAATTGTTGACATAACATCTAGTTTTTCTGTATTAATTACTATGATTGGTGGTATTTTAAAGGTGCCAATTATGATGGAATTGTACATATATTGATTACTTTTTTCAATATACTACTTTAATAAAATTTAACAGGTATTCTATGTATCTGTATTTATATTTTCTTCCTGAAACCACTACCCATATAGAACATGGTTTGTAACTAAATTCCTTTTGTTATTTATTTTTGTAAGGACTGTTTTCTCATAAAAGAGTATATGTGCCCTAAAGTCTCTCATCAGACTACTGAAAGCTCAGGACTAACCATACTAGCAAGACAATACAGTGAAGTCAGCACACGATTTTTTTGTCTCTTTGGACAAATGATTAACTTCAAAACTTGTCTTTTAGCTCAATCTGCCAAATTTGGTGTACTATCAAAAATCCATACAGTTAAGTAATCTGGTCTGGGATTCTTTCCTCCTCCTTTTTCATGTACAAGTTCAGTTGCCTTGCAGGTGGTTTTCGGAAGTGGGTACCACACCACAGCTGGACCTTTGAAAAGTACTCGTCATTATTTCACAGTGATACCACATCCAGAGAGCTCCATTTTGGTCTCCTAAAGTTTGTTTCTGTAGGCTTGAAAACTGTAAAAACTGCTGGGTAATCTACCCAAGTGTTTCCTGGCAGACAGCATGAAAGATGGGTTTTGACATTCTAGGGGATTTTAAACAGATTTTCCTAATTGTTTCCCTAGATCTGTATCTAGGGAAGTAATAACACCCTAGATAGAAGGGGAGGAATAGTACCCTTTTTCACAGGAATATTCTAATTACTTTCTTTCTGGTTGACAGCAATCATTCATAAAAGACTTGCACGCTGCACTAATGTAGACTGGTGACTATATTCCACATATTCCTTCCCATTCTTCAAACAGAATTCAACCTTTGGAGCTTCTTGGTGAAAAACTATTAGTAAAAGGAGGCCCAAGTATAATAAAATTATTACACAGTTTTATTTTGAAGAACATTTTGCATTTGTTTTAATACAAAATGATGTAGATCAAGAAATAATTTACAAACCTTTAAGTTCTTATCCTGACATTTGAAATAAGAATGATTTCAGAGGAAGTCTGTATGCTATTCATAGGAAACTGTCATTATGTACAAAATGTTTATTGACATGTTTTAAATATCACATTTGTAAAAATGTGAACTGGATTGCTATCTAGCATATGAACTACAGGTAAAACCTGATAAGAGAACTTGTTAGAACAAGTCATTTTTATCCAGTGCTAACAAAATAGACAGTAGCTTTCAGTGGTTTTTGATTTTCCTCCAAGGTCATTTCAGCCTCAAAGTTGTTTCAGGGGTTTACTGCATTGTGAACAATATCTAAGCCCTCATTTGTTTGCATAAAAATAAACCTGTGGAATAGTACACATAAAACAACAGAAAGGTAGAAACAATAAAATCATATACTCCTTCCGTCAAGGTTTTTGATTCTGTGAAGAATTACTTTCTCATATTTCTTTTCTTTCCAAGCAGATTAAGTAGTTCCAAAAAAAAAAAAAAAGCATTTACATTTACTCGTGAAATACATTCTCAACAAGATGCTTCCTATCAAAGCAGGGTATGTAGGTAACATACCTTGTCAAAATTTATTGTCTCGCGAGCAGTAATACCCTGGCATGAACGTGCCAATTTTTAAATTATTTTAATATTTATTTTTAGCATGGGATGAATAAAAAAATAAAATTAGAGCTTATTTTTCAATCAAAACGGTTAAAATAAGTTTAAATCTTTTACCTTTCCAAGTATAAGACTGTAAATAGTCAACTGTGCATCCCTTATGCAGAGAGATTAATTTGACTCAGTTATTTTTAAAAAAAAAAAACAAACAAACAAAACCCAAAACTGTTCTGTTGCCAAGTTGAAACTTGACACTTTATCCCAAGAAGAGATTTACACTGAGAGGTGGCTCTATTTAAATATTTATGCTATAGATCTATATATTCCAAGTAAAAATACTTCTATCTAGAATTCTGTGGAGAGTTACAATAATTAGGGTCCATAAATATTGCTGCAGTTCAATTACGGTACAATAATTACAAAATATAGAACATCTCTTTACAAATACAAATCATTGTATATTACAATTCATTTACAATATGTTCTACTATATAATTTTTAGCAAACTATCTTATCTAATTCTACTATAACCTGGTTGCAAGTGCATTAGTAAGAATGCAATTATTCCAGTATATTTTGCCCTTAACGTGATAGTCATAAAACAGACTATCTGAATGATATTTTCCTATGTAAACTGGTGTTACATATGACAGATTGTATAACTTCTTTTTCCAACCATCTCTAACAGGTAGAGCATGACCAACTGTATTTTAGAAGAGCATTAAGAAAAGAAATGAGGAGGCAAGTTTGGAAACGTTAGAATGGATATGTGACAGGTAGCTGATATGCTGTTGAGTGCTGAGGGAATGACATTATTGGTTGTCATCACCCATCTCACCTTGCCCATGCAATTTTGCGACGGACTTACGCAGGCGTTTTAAGTGACAAAATCCTGCTCTACTATACAGGACAGCAGCACAAGGTTGAAAGACAGGCAAGATATTACACCTCAGAATCCTGCTCTAGCCCTCAAAAAAGTGATTGTCACCATCTGCTTGGTTTCAAAATAACCTTATTCCTACAGAGGAACTGAAGATTCTGTGGCAGGGAACTTGACGTACTGAAGCTCTGATCAGATTTCGGCAACATGGAGATAATAAATTGATTAGTTATGGCTTCCTCGAGGTGTGACATCACTCATACAAAACATGATTGGTTATTCACTCCAGCTAGTGCCTAGCATCTTGAAAATATGAGGCACTTTTTCTGTTGTTAGAATCATTTTCCTTGCTAAATACTATAAACTTGTAATGCATATCATTTCATCAGCTAAGTCTTCTTCATATTGTCCCGTTTCTGGTTCTTCATCACTGTAGCCAGGACCAAAATCTTGAAGTTCATAATCTTGTCTGCTTAAAATTGGGAACATATCCCCATTGGTCCCGTTGCTGATATTTCCATTGAGAAGATTACTTGCTGCACTTTCCATCTCATCAATAGTCATGTCACATGCATCAGCAATCTCGTGTTTCGTAGCTGAAACAAATTTAGGGTCCTTTGCATACCTTCCTAGGCCTTCAGATATAAGTACCTGGAAGATGGAGGGGAGAGAATGAGACATATGGTGGAATTACAGAAGAACAGACAGGTCATAATGTTTCTCAACTATGGAAAATACTAGAAACCCCATGCTGAACCACCACAGCAACCCACAGCAAAACTGTATGTGTAAAGAACAATCCAATGGCTCCAAATCACATTGTATCAGTTATGTGATAATATAACTGATAAGGCAATACATCTGGACTTATCTCTTTAGAAATTTGGAAATAGTCTTTGATAAGCAGCTATCATCAGCCTTTATATACTAAAGACAACAGTTAATACATCTCAGCTAGTGCAATTCTAACAGTTACCTGAAACAGAATTTTAGATACGTTCCTGGTACTTTAGAGTACATAGAAGAAAGATGCTGAAGTCCCATTTACAAATAAAATTTAACAGTGTATTGTTTAGCTAATAGCAATGGAAAGGAAGTGATAGTGATCAAGAACAGCAACTCTGACTCCAAAATGCTATATACTCTTCATCTTGAAATGTTTAATATAAAAGGGAATTCTTAACATTTTTTAGTATGCCTACAAATCAATCCATGCAGTTGTTATTCACCACCCTGCATTTAGTTCACTGATTCATAGAGTTTTTGAGCTTTTATTCAGATTACTGCAAAAATGGCAATAAATTTCTATAGAAACAAAGAGAACAGGCATACACATTATCTCTTCCCTCCCAGACACTGTGGAAGGAAATTTCATAGCTGATCCTCATCTAGAAAACTTATATTTCAACTCTCTTTGAAATCTCTCCAGTTCTCTGACACACTAATGTAGATTTGGAGACAGCAGAAATCATTTACTACATGACAGCTACAGAGAAGTTCCCCCATCTTTCCCTGAAAACAGGTTTGAGCTTTGAAACTGAAAATACCACATTCCCAGAGACATGAACATGAACTAAATTCCATGCTTTTTCAGGTTAACGCAAACCAGACAGACACTCTTAGCTACTTTAGATTTTTCTGCAGTACTTACCGCTTCCACCAGACTGTCTGCACTCCTCTGCTTGTCACTATGTTTATGCCTAAAGTCATTAGGTACTGTTAAATTGGCTGGTGTAAATGTTCGGTAGGAAATACCGGGGTCATCGGTGTACCAAGAGCTCCTATGCAAGGAAGGCAGGCTACCATTCATATGCTCTGTAGATTCAGCCCTATCAACCTGGATTAGAGGTGTGTAATATGGAGTACGGTCCTTGTTGGGAGGGGTTGCAGGTGGGGTAGCCCAGGAACGCGTCGAACGGCTTGGTGAATGTTTATGAGCTTTGCTGGAATCCAGACCTGCAACAGCCATGACCTGGTAAGGGGAAGAATTTCCAAAGTTAGTGATTTCAAATGCTCAGTCATATTAATTTCTTATTTCAGCAGTTAGTTCAGGCAGCAGCTATGCAAAGTTAACATTTTCTGGTATTTAATATTCATGTACAGGAGGAACAGGACTGAAATTGCCAAACTGGCAGGATAACATGTTATTTTTTCTATTATTATTCAGAATGAAAAATCTTGGTATTAGCATTAATAAAGAAAAAGAATCACTTATACAATATTATAAACAAATAATGCAAAGTGTGGAAATATTCTTTCTGTTCCACAGGGACAAGATAGGAAACTATTAGTGTTTTCCCAGCATTCTGGATGCTGCCTCCAGGCAATGGAAACTGCCATTTTCTCAGGGCCATGTCAGAGCTGTGCACTGAGCCCCAAAGGTGTGTATGATGTGCTTGCAGGTTCTCACCATCAGCAGGATGGAGCTGAGTAATCACACAGGCAAAGATTAATAGACAGTTGCTGTATTATGCAGTTCTGGTCAGAATTCCTTAGGACATCCCTGCTCTTTGTGGCCAGGTAAAAAGTCACAGGGCAAACTAAGTTTCAATGTTTCATAGAAGGCTGATGTTTGAGAAGCTCCATGTCTAGCAACTACAAGCCTACACTTTACCTAGAAGTCATGCAGAGGCAAACTACATAATACACCAGTGGCGTTTCAAACAACTATGAAAGTCAGAAGTCAACGATGTTTCAAACAACTATGAAAGCCAATACAGAAGACAGGAAGATGGAATTCATTATTAGTTAAAATAGGATTTTGTGTTTACCTGCTGTTGCATTAAGTGAAGTGGTAAAGCAGTGCGGTGGTGGAAATTAGGAGAAAGTGGTATGTCATCTTGACTGCTTTGTCGGCGGAGGCATTCAAAGTTAAAGGAAGATCTTCTGTGTGCTACAGGGAAACCATAATTCATTAGGGAAATAAAATATTTTTCCTCAAATCTGTTATTTCCAGAATTCTAGTGTGAGTCAACTATCACACGAATAAGAATATATTCCCCAGTAAGAAATAAGTTATGCTAACAGAAGCATGTGGCTGATTATAAGATAAAGGACAGATTCACTATATGTGCAAATGCAGTCCTAAGTAGAAACCATGTGAGCAGCCTAACATGACAGCATTTGAAGCAGCCATTTCACAAAGCAACCTTGTGCTACACAGCAAACTGGTTCATACACTTAACTGCACTATTTTACTACTGTGAATAGTTACAAAGAAGAGTTTCTTTTTTCTTCCCCATGGTTTTAAACTTTTCATTTACAGGAATCAGACTTCCAAAAGGAAATACCAAACCCCCAGTTACTTGAAGCAATGTGCAATATGAAAAACCATATCCAGGTCAAAGGTGACATGCTGTCAACTCCTGATGTTTATTCTGTTGCTTAAGACAATGGTAAGCTGTGGTCTCTGCTGTTCCATATGCTCTTAGTATTCATGCAAGTGCTAGAAAAGAGAAAGTAGAAATCTAAACTGGATCAAGATGTTTAGCTGATGTGGAAATGTCTCAGCTGGTCTTGGTGAAATCCAGAGGAACAATGGTAAGCAGCATGTGGGTACCATTCCTCTGTGCTAGCTTCAGTGTGAAAAAAGCCTAGATGCTGCACAGCAGCTGGAATCCAGATAGACCCTCACAGCTGTGAGCATCATAGCGGAGAACTGGAAAGAGCCTGACTGCACACAGCAGTGATACATAATTGTGCTCTTGAGAATTGCTGAAACTAATCTTGGTATCTTTTTTCCAACATGAAGAATTTTGTGAACAAAGAACAGAACCAGACGCTTATTGCTGGATAGTGACAATCAAGGACTAAAACAGCCACCTCCTGGAGGTGATTCGGTCTGCTTAATGCAAACTTTGTGCCTCTTCCTCTTGTCTCTATGATAAATCCAAACACAGGAATGTAAGCCTTAGCTCCTGACCCTAACAAATGCTAAATGTCTCAATACCAAATGAATAAAAAGCAACCCAAAAAGGCCACTCATCTAAAACAAGATGCTGCTTTGCACATGCTTCTCCCAAGGAAAAAGTCTGAAAGAACATCTTACTTATTTCTCAGTACACTTCTGGAAGTTGCTCAAGTACTGTGGTGATGAGTTTGGTACAAAAACTTCTAGAAAGCTTGACACAGAGCTCAATTTACTAACTACAGTACTCAGCCAAGGCCCTGTATGTTACCTTTACTGGACTGAATCCAGATGCTAACAGAAACTGTTTAGTCCAACACTGTAGCGGTTTTGGGTTTTTTTTTTTGGTTTTTTTTTGTTTGTTTTTTTTTTTTTTTGTTTGTTTGTTTTTTTTTTTTTTCTTTTTTTTGGTTTT